TGCTCATCACTATCCTATATCGAAAGATTTGCCTGCGTTTGCTTCTTTCATTAATCTTTTAGACGACTTTCGCATTTTCTTTAGTTATTGCCTTAAATTACACTTTCAGTACGGAATCTGTCTGATGGGCCATACCGTACCATAAATGTAAAAGTAAGTGTACCTAGTAATTGTCAACGTATGGTTGAGCAAAAAGATTACAAATTCACGATTACCGAGAAATCTGTTTAAGTTATAGTAGCATACATTTTCTGTTTTTACGCGTGAACAATCTTGAAGGAAATTGAGACCTTTATTTATTTGAAAACAAAACTTAACATATGTTTGTTATTTTACAGGAAAAAATTGAATATATATTTTTAGTAATTTTCACACTTGAATGTATAATGAAGATAGTTGCGTACGGATTTATGATGCATCCTGGTGCTTATCTAAGAAATGGATGGAACTTGTTAGATTTTACTATTGTTGTTATAGGGTAAGAAGATGATTATCTATTATTAATAACCATATAAGCAAAACCTTCATTAATTTTCAACATCTATATTGTAATTGAATTTGGTCAAACGATCTATTATTACATATTTACATACAATCTTTTGGAGATATCCGAAATAATCTGATTATCAAAACAAAGAGGTGCAAAGTATAAAACAAATATCGATTCATTAGTAATGAATTTAAAGGATGGCTAATAGGGCTTAATTGGGAACAAATGGTGGAAATGTCAAAAAGGTTTCTTCCCTCAGGATACATTTAAATAAATATAATTCTGTAAAACCCTACAAATCACATTTCAGTTGACCAAAATTTATGTTATGTAACAACAGTCATAAATCCTAAAGCCGAAGGATTTTGCTATGTAGATTTTTGTACGGGTCTATTCAATTTTAAGAGGGACGTGAACAGAATTTGTTTTATTTCACAATAGAATAATGTTTTTTTTTATTACATATACCAAAATGCATGGTTGTCCTGTAAGTGTATATGCTACAATATTATACAAATATGAAATTATCGGAATGATAGGAAGTGAATTCAACCATTTCTGCATCCTTACTAAATTAAAACTTTGTAACGGTTTCTAGATACAAGCGAAAATGTCGTGCATATGCTCGAACAAAATCTTCTTTATAATCGTAATGACCATTCATACAATTTATATCAGCTTTGAATGATAAAGGTTGAAGTGAATTCCGATTGCCATTGTTGTAATTTTTAATTAATGGGAAGGTACAAGAACTTCATCAGGTATTCCATTACTTTTATAACAATTGTCATTGTATTACTATTGATATTTGGGATTTTCTGAGATTTGCAGTTCACTTCTTCAGGGTAGACCCAGACTGACACTGTAGGGTTTATTGAATTCGTAAGGGAGGTTAAATCTTCCGAAGATACTGAAGTGTCCCTATAACTGGATAGGGTTGGATTCCTTCCGAGTAACATACGGCTATACATAGTTCTGTGTACGATGCATTACCTTTCTTGACTGATTTTTCAGTTGACCAATCAAACCTAAAGATAGGACAGTTTGCCAAATCGGGTTGGTCTTGTAATCGGTATCCCGGTTTGACACCTGAAGTAGATATCATCCTAAGTACTTCTTTTTATTCGCTGTATGACACAAACATTATTTGTGAAATTGAACTTATTACTATTTATGTTCTTTGTATAGATAAACATTTTCAATAGGATATACTCTAATATTCATTTTTGACGTTTTTCTTTTCCGTATTGTCAATAATTGGTAACAGGTTAGTTTCTGGGCTGATTACTGTGTAGCTGTATGATAAATGTGTCACTCACGTAAGAGAACCGTTTCTTGGGTTCTAATTGTGCCGAATCTAAAACCTTTAATGAAGGTGTTTGGCCGGGTTGGTGATAGTGGCGATTGGATTGCTGCACGTTCCACTTGTTCATAATATTGCTCCCCCAACACAACAAACGTTGATTTTACACATATCTTGGCCAAATCTGCTAATTTCTCGTTCTTGTTCACTGTGATGTCTTCGTATAGTTCTTGAAGGAATTCATAAACTTGTACTTTGGTGATTTGTTTAGAGATGTGGGTCGCGTATTTTTTCAATAAAATCTCCTGCATTATTGATGTAGTGCTTCGTCTTTCCAACTAAACGTCTTGATTTGGTCCCTGTGTTTCTCCTTTGCAATGTTGGATGCTCGGATTACGTCTGCTACTTGGCTTTCTAGTTACTTAATTGTGTTGTTTATCTTAGAAATACTTGAAATCTACATCCTGGTAGGTTTGTCTATCCCCAAATATAAAACGATATTATATATCTGTGCCTATGACTAGAGGACTCTTTAGGACACCGCATTTAATAAGCCACCCAATATTCCTATTTCTTAAATATATATGACGTTGGCTTCATGTTAATATTATTATTAGATTCCTTTTGATTTTTGTCATTTTTTTTTAATACGTAAAACGGTAAAAGAAATATACTTCCTTCATCTCGGATTATTTTATAAATTAGAAATTGTAGGAATAGCACGGTTGTTCGAGAGTTGATTTGGCTAAATTTTAATAAACACACATGGTATGTAAAATTTATTAAATTTATTATTTAAAAACCTCGGGGTAATTGCTTAGTAGTTACCCTACCATTGAAAGCCGTAATATTTTTGATGATATTAACGTCTGTGATAAAACAAGTAAGTGGATGAAAGGGAACCATGATAGTAAGGTTGTAGTTGAAATGGTTTCCCCATTTAAAGTTTATTAAGAGTAGCCTTCCCAACTATAACCTAACGAGAGAGAGTTAAGAAATAAACAAATCGTGCTCCACTTATTGTTTTACTTATTACTTACAGGAGTAAAAACCTCAAGAAACAATTAAAAAAATTAAAAGTCTGGATACCAGAAATCTCATATGTAAATAATTACCTTTATATATGTAGTGATAAATACCAAACATTTAGTCCACTTAAAACTTAGAAGTTTCTTCAACCGAAAAATCTGTAATATAGTGATGTAATTGTAATGTAGGTTGTTCACCGGAAAATCTTTAAGTTTAAAATTAAATCAATAAAAAACTAAATATTTATTAGAAACACACTTGCAATAAAGCTTGAACAAAGAAGAGGATATTCTATTGCAGATCCTAAATCGTTGAACGATTGGTGTTGTGTTGCCTTTAGGTATCCCAAAAAAAAAAAATTCGACGAGCGAGCCCTCCATATTTGCCGATCATTTTATTCGGAAAAATTACCTCAGCTTCTTTATCGACACTCTAGTACTATTTGGAGTAGCACTGAAATAGCGTTCTGTTGTGCACTTCAATTTTTAGTGTTCTTTTTAATTCTTTTACAGACCACAATCTTTTTCATCGATTTACACGAATTTATTCGCATAATTTACCGTCGAAAGTTAGGCAAATGCTGTAACATCGTTGCTGTCACTGACGGACCTCTATCCACTGTTGTCCTTACTTGCCTGAACTTCTGCATCCTCCACCAAATAAGTTACCTGCTCGTGCTATCATTTAATCTACACATATTGAAGTGGGTGCAAAAAAGATTAGTTTGTTTCTTCTTTCCTTTTTAAATTTTGCTCGATCGCGAATGCGTAATGTTTTCTCGTCCAGTGACTTATCGCGAGGGACGAAGCATTGAATGCTGTTCCCTCCACTTATCTCACCCCGTTACTTTTTGAACAATTATAATTTGAATTTTTCCGCTGGACACCCTATATTTGAACACAATGTATCTTTAAAACTATGTTATCTTATTATTTATGCATTATCAATAATGATTTACCTAATATCTAGCCCCTATCCGTTATTACTCCTGATAATGGCGTGACCACCGAAATAATTATTTAGGTCTTTTTGACTTTATAAAACATACAATGTGTGTTGATCCAACTTTCAAGGTTAGATATTAAATAGCTTTCCAGTTAGTGATTGACGTAAAACATTAAATTGGGAATAGTAATGTTTGCCTCCGGCGATAAAAAAGGGTAAATACTACATTTCCTACTGTATAAAATCCGGAAAAATACAAAATTGCGATGCTACAAAAAAAGTCAAAGCGAAAGTCCTCGAATTTCGTTTGTAATAAAACTTTCATTTTAAAAATACATTAACTGCAACTACGTCATTTGATATCAAAGCAAGCTTTATTAAAAATTCGTGGAAACACCTTTTCATTCAGTTCAATTAAAAAAACAAAAACACGTTGCCCAATAGATATGCAAAAAGTATTGCCTGTAATACTCTTAATAATACTGTTGATAATGACTACTTATGCGAAATATTGTTTTGCAATTTATTAAATATTTCGTTTAAACAATTTACTATTTTGTAAATAGAGCAAAAACGAACAAAGATAAAGAAAATAATTTATAGGAACGTTCTTCACCAATTAAGTATTCTACTCAGATTGTTCCTAATAAGTAAATTGTATTATTGATTTCAGTTTTTTATTCTACTGGATATTTATCAAGTAATCAATAGGTAATCAAATATTACAAAAAAACAAATCAAAACTTAGGTATAATTATAGGTAATCCAAAATGAACAATTACGATTTCAATTATAGATATATGGGTACTTAGCTTTTTTTTTAGTACGATTAATTATTAATTAAGTGATATTTACGTTTTTACACAAGACTGAAGAGTTAATATGATTTATGTATTGAGTAAAAGTCAAACGATACCTATAGGAATTTTTTTAAACATTTACGGGACAACCTGTATAATTCACCAACCCAGATACTCCGGTATTTGGCATTACCACATTTACACCATAATTTATTAAATGAATTTAATATCTAAAGGTTGTTTAAAATATTTTATAGCAGTTTTATAGTCATGCCAATGTTATTAAAATAGTAAAGTACCATAACTTTGCCGACCAATATTTTTTACAAAACATGACCTTTTAAAAATAGTATTAAGGATCAGTTTACCTACCACTAGTCACACAATTTTTTATAATTCAGAGGTGCATATGTTTAATAAATTTCTTTTGCAGAATGATCAGTACAGCGTTGCAATTTTTTACAAAAGATAGTTTCGACGTTAAAGCTCTTAGAGCATTTCGGGTATTGCGTCCTTTAAGGCTAGTTTCTGGCGTTCCAAGTACGTATTTGTCTAAATAATTGGTAAATTGCTTATCAAGATTGTGCGCTTTTAGGTCTGCAAGTTGTGTTAAATTCAATTCTACGTGCCATGGTGCCTTTACTACACATTGCTCTACTTGTTTTGTTTGTTATTATTATATATGCAATTATCGGATTAGAATTGTTCTCAGGAAAAATGCATAAAACTTGTTTTGATAACATTACAAGTAAGTCACGTAAAAGTCACGCAAAAATGTCAGCCTGTGAATATTTACAGTATTCGTAAATAAAATTAAGCAAAGTGGTCTTTTAGATGAAATGATGGATGATCCGCATCCATGTGGAGATGGATATAATTGTTCAGAAATCGGCCCCACAATGGTTTGCAATTACTCTTGGCCTGGACCAAATTTTGGAATTACTAATTTTGACAATTTCGGATTATCTATGTTGACTGTTTTTCAATGTATAACTTTAGAAGGGTGGACTGATGTACTTTATAATGTGAGACCTTATGATCTATATACATACGTATTTATGGATAAACTCGTAGGCGTATCTGACGTCATTACACGCACCTTTTTTTTATTTTTTCTTTTATTTTTAAGTCAGAAATACACAATGGCCTTAGCCTGTGTCCTGCAAAAGACATACGTAAACTTATATTGATAATATCAATGTGATAAGAATTTATCTGATCCTTACCTATTTATACTATTGCAATGCCAAAACGTAATCTGAGAATATTTATTATTAAATTAAGGATGAAGGAAGAATCAAACTGATTCTTTCTTCATCCTTTCGCCTTTTGCCTTTGGACGTTGGGTACGCCAATTTTATTAGTCATTGCATATACTTCTTAAAAAACAAAATTCGTAAAACTGTATTTTCAGATACAAGACGCAATGGGACGAACCTGGCAATGGACCTACTTTGTATCCATGGTCATTTTGGGCGCATTCTTTGTAATGAATCTTATTCTTGGTGTTCTTAGCGGGTAATTATAATACAATCCATTTGATCGTCGGAATTGCCATCACACTTTCTTAACCAGTCTTTATTACCAGTTTATTTAGGAAGGCAAAGTCCATAGTAATTTTTGGGTAGAGAAAAACCTGTTTTTCTACCGTTTGATTCTTTAACTCCAGCATTTTTATTAAGCAACTTTGTGAATTGACGAACACTAAAATTTGAGGTAAATGAATGACTTTTCTCCCTATTTTTGCACAGAGAATTTTCGAAAGAAAGAGAAAAAGCCAAAGCCAGAGGTGATTTTCACAAGCTTCGTGAGAAGCAACAAATAGAAGAGGACCTACGAGGTTACCTCGACTGGATTACACAAGCTGAAGACATTGAACCTGAAGGTGAAGACCAAATGAAAAATCAAGAGGTTAATGCCGAAATAGAGTCTACAGATCATTTCGGCGAAGAAACAGAAGTTCAGCAAGAATCTTGGTTTAAAAAACGAAAAAAAGGATTCGACAGAATCAACCGCCGAATGAGACGAGCTTGCAGAAAAGCTGTCAAAAGTCAAACATTCTATTGGCTGATCATTGTTCTTGTATTCCTCAATACCGGAGTATTAGCTACAGAGCATTACGAACAGCCCCCGTGGTTGGACGACTTCCAAGGTAAGTTTGCAAATAATATATCACTTATAACTTACAGCATCAATTCTTATTACAGAATACACAAACATGTTTTTCATAACTCTATTTACGTTAGAAATGTTACTAAAAATGTACAGCTTAGGATTCCAAGTAAGTTATTACAAGATATTCAAAGTGATGTATTGTTATTAACATTTCCTTTCCCCACATTTCCGTTTCAGGGATATTTCGTGTCCCTTTTTAACAGATTCGACTGTTTTGTCGTTATCGGAAGTATTACTGAAATGATTTTAACGAATACTAAAGTAATGCCTCCCCTAGGAATATCTGTGCTGCGATGTGTACGACTCCTAAGAGTTTTTAAAGTCACGAAGTAAGTAAAGAAAATTCAATAAACGGACGAAGGAAATCCAATAACCGACATAATTGCTTATAATTTCATTAATTTGAACTTTCCCATAAAGAAGGCTTAAAAGAAAGTTAATACGTAATTTCCTTTTAAAAATCGTTTTGTTTCTGGAACAGTCATTTTTCAGGCTTTCATAAAATAATTACCACAACTATCGAGAAAATTGGTAAGACGTAATCATAAAAAAAATTATAAAGGTTACCTAAAGGTTACAGTTGTTATCTAATCTCGTTTGCTTATAAAAATGTCAATAAAAAACATACATTCGTTTCAAATTTTATTTTAATAAACTCTACTTTAATTATATCGCCATCTACTCAAGTCTGCTGCTGACTGAGGTATTTATTCATATATCAGACAAGCCTCTAATAAAGATTTACTTATCAAACTGATGTAGAGATATAGAGAGATATTAAGTACCTACTTATACTTCGCTTACTTTCTGTAGCGATGTGACCTTCACTTTGACCGGCGCAAAGTAGAAAAGAACAGTACTAGGCCAAAGAAGGAAAGAGGCAACTCTCGGCCAAACTCTTAACCGGTGAGGAGCGTATAATCCGTATAGTACTCCAAGGAAAAATTGATCATTTTATCCACTACAATTGCATTGCTCAAATGTTCTGTTATTGGTACTATTTACTAGTGAAAATATCAACGAGATCTTTATTTATATTTGAAGACATTTTAAAGGCTTAAACGCTTGTTTTCGACTCGTACTACTATTCATGATTGAACAAAACTTTTGGTAGGTACTGTATGAAAAAGTATGTTTAATGAGTCGAGAGTATAATGCGCTTTTTTCTCCCTACTTACGATTTTGCCAGCGCGCATCCAAGACTTTGGAAGGATCACATCGCTAGAGAAAGTAAATGAAGTATACTTACTTTTAAAAAGAGCTCCTACGATTTGGTCAGTATTTTATGGTGTACTGGTAAGATCTAATAAAACATATACTGTTCTTATTAATTTGTTTTACGTACCTATATATGTGATTATCGATTATGTTTGACGAGTGGATACTTAAATGTACGTTCTAGTATATGAAATACTTCAGTTAGCAGTAAATATCAGTAAATTGTGATGGAGGTACTGCTATCACTAGAAGGAACTGCGTGTCGAAATAACTATACTGGATTATTAAAATAAAATTTGAAACTAAAATTTGTATTTGTTTACATTTGATTACAGGGGTCGAAAGTCTAATCGATTTAAGAATGTTAATTATACCATAGTATAAACATAGTCCATACAGTACGGTCACGCCTTTGCTCTAACCTAAAATTCTGAAACTTTTTGCAGGCGGTCATAAATCAACATTATGTGCACTGAACTGCCTGCATACGAGAACGGTTCACTAATTTTACCAATGTGTTAGATACAGAATATATCTGTACCGTGGCTTCTCCATTACACTGTGTGCAAGACAGTCCCTGCATAGCGGACACTGTGATTATAACAATTTTATAATATTGTGTACTGTAATATAGAACTCTGGTAACAGAAAGAGAATCGCTCTTCATAAAACCAATCAAGTAATAAATATATACTTTTATAAGTAGCTTTTCTAAAAAAAAGTATACTGCNAGGGCAGATAAGGGGAAGCCTATTATGAAATTTTAATAAATATTTTCTCTTTTAGAATGTTACTTTGATGATTTATTAACGAGAAATTTAAAATCAAAATTAAAACCAATCAGAGCATACTGTGTTTACCGCACGCATTGTGTCTATTTCTACTCGAAGGCGTATTCAGGATGATGAATTTTAAATGAAACCTTTAATTTTTAATTACTAGATAATTATTCATCGCAGAGAATAATTGAAACTAAATTTTGGTTCAGAATTTTGGAGCGAGTAGTTCTGATAAATAAACATGAATTTGTTAGCAAACATAACAGCAACCCGAAATATTATTCCAAAGCACGTATACATAATCAAAAATTTGGAAAAATCTGATTATACATTTTTAAAAAAATTATTCTGGCAGTGAGTGATGCAGACAATTATTACAATTTCCTAAAACAGTTGTCGAGCACGCAGAAACGGATGCTTATTGGCCACATACATCGGAGATTAAACCAGAAATCTTAAGATAATTAAATTATCACTTATTAATAGTGTCATTTTTATTTCTCTTACGTAGAGCGAGTTCCATAAATCACGCAATGGGAGTGGAACCGCAGTCTGACATAAATACAAAGTGGTAGCAAGCTTTTAAAGAAAATTAGTCGTTATAAAAACACCTTATTAAAATCAATAAATACAACCGACGTACGTGCTAAAGGTCATGCTACACAGTGCGTGAAGCGGCAATTTACCCGCGGCGTCTACTGCCTATTCTCAACCCATTAGTCAGCATGTAGAATGCTAATCCACGCCCCGTGTAAAGCCCCTGTTATACGATGTGTGGATTGCCAATGTAAACAAACGTACACACATATTACAAAAGATTATCATATTAGGTGTATTCCTATTATTTATACTTTCAACATGTATAGCATAATTTTATAGTACTTTTTGCAAGTATGTTTATGCAAAGTGAATATGTTATTTGACGTTCTGTAGATATTTAACGACTATGCTGGTGAAAGAACGCGCTAGTACGTTTCTTCACGCTCCAGGCTGCGCCGATCCCGTTACACGAGGCGTGGATCGGCAATATTCGCGCCGAGTAATAATGGGTTCAGCATAGGTACACACGCCGCGCAAGGATTGCCGCTCCTCGCGCCGTGTAACATGGCCTTAATGGGATCGGCGCGACCTGGAGCTTGAAGGGATGTCCTGGCACGGTAAATGTCAAAACAAACACAGCTGTAGTTATCAAATCTGGTCCGAATACATTTACACAAAGTCAAATAACTTATTCAGTTTGTATACTTAAACATATCTACAAAAAGTACTGCAAAATTATGTTATTGTACGTAAAAAGTTTAAATAATATATAATATACTTAATAATAATATATAACTTTCTAATGTATGTATACGTTTTTTACATTATATATCTTTATAACATTATCGACGGTGGTGGCGAAAGAACGCGCCAGGATGTTCCTTTAGGCCGCGTCGACTCCGTTACACGGATCGGAAATCCACGTGTAACAGGGGCTTTAAAATCTATAATTACAGAAAGTAAAACAACTCCAGACGAAAACTTATAGAATTGGCGTTAAATTATATTTTATCACGGAAATTAATAAGTTCAAGGCGATTTAGTAGGTATATTATCGAAATGTTTCGGCTCCCAACAACTGGCTGAAAATAGGTCAACATGTCTATAAAAATAATATAGGTGCATACGTACTTGTTACTATCGGTAAATATCTACTTAAATATCTTATGACAGACAGATCCTTTTTAAATTGCAAAATATGTACTTATAGAATAGTTAATAAATGTCTAGTTCAATACAATTTATTGCGGGCTCCACATTTTTGAATTAACACAAACACGTGTGTGCGTTTATTTTAATCATACTTTTCTCTAATCAGTAATACATCATTGACATGAGTATAAAATAATTGGTAGAGGTCTAGATGATGGGGGGATCGAAAGAGGAGGTCTCCCCCACCACTGTACCATAAAAAGTTCGTGGCGGTCTCACCCCCATAAAAAGTTATGGGGGTTCAAAGTTAATAAATATGCCAATTTTTATACATTTCTAGGCATGTAAATATTTATATAGTCATTCTTAAACAATATTCAAAGGCAAAACTTATGAAAAGTACATAAAAATATTGAGAAAGTTATATAAAACATTATTTAAATATCTTTATCAATAGGGTAGGTTAGGTTAGGTTATCGGGTTTTGTTCAAGTGATCACTCTCTTTCGATCCCCCATCTCCACCCAATTAAAAATATTTCTTTTATTGAATTTTATTTGAATTATGGTGTATGAAAATTGTCAAAACTTTCAACACCTATAACTTTTTATGGGGGGTGAGACCGCCTCAAATTTTTTATGGGGTTTTACTCAGGTGACCACCCTCTTTCGATCTCCCCTACCCCGAGCTATCATCTAACCCCTATAAATTTTTATGGGGATGAGACCGCCACGAACTTTTTATGGTACAGTGGTAGGGGAAATCTCCTCTTTCAATCCCACCCACCCCCACTCCCTTCGGGGGGACCTTTACCAAATAATTTTATTTTTAATCATTCGTTTCACAAAATAGTTGGAGTAGCAATTTTTCGAAACTACAGATGTTAATTGTGATCTCGAACTTACTAGATCTCATCAGTACACGATAAGTAGTTTCGATGAATCACACGATCGCGGTCTTAACCAAGAATTGCCTTGTGGAAACAACATAATTGATATCGAGCAGTTAACAGTACACCGACATGTATATTTAGAAGTTTGCTATTAACTTTTTTGGTTTTGATTGTTCTATTAGTAGGTACTACAAGGGGAAGAACTACAGATGGAAGTAATAATATACGGTAATCGGAAAAAAATCCCCTGTAACTACATATTGTAACACGTATGCAAGCGCTAGCACCATCTAGGTCGGATTGCCTTACTTTAATTTTGACGTTTAACTACTACGTTTAGTGACCCCTAAAACTGAATAAAGACAATATTTGAAATGAGGGGGTTATGATATTAGACAAAAGTCTTCATGTACGTTTCTGATTGTAATTTAAAAACTACATATGGTGTGCTAATGGGAACTAATAAATTAGAAACCGCAATCCACATCTATTGCTGTCTATAAATTGCTGACTACTTAATATTTTCGTGTTCATTATCTATTGGTCTACGCGACTATCACGTATACAGGCTAAGTTGTTGATTCAGTTTGTCAAGAAAATATCTTGTCGATCATTATGAACCGCTACAGTTAAGAAATGGCTAAATATTATTTCCGTTTTCTTGATGTTAGACGACTATGTCAGTCGGGTACTTCTTTTATTTCTCAGCTGACCTTTACGCTCACAATATGATACAAAATAGTTTCACATTTTGCTTTTATGTGCAATATAAAAACAATAGCTCCTTTAATCATTTTTTTAATAACGCGGTGAATTTTCGCCAAGTTTTACGTTAAAATGAGAAAGATGATAATGACAATACATAGCAGTTATCGTAACGAGTTCGGCTAAATAATTAAATTCCAAAATTTACATATTTCTCTGACGAGATATTCTGATTGAAGAACTACGCTGCTTGGTGAGATGTAGAAGTAGATTATGATTATAAAGTACGAGGGTGGATTGATAAGTTTCCGGCCTAACCAAGAGATGACGCCACTAGGCCTACCTTGAGGTGACATTCTATAGTACCATCCTTGGATAGCTTGTAGCTATAGTTTCAGCCCGATCTCCTTGCTAGTGTAGGTTTGACAGCACGCTGAACAAGACGCCTCTGTGGTTTTCGTAAAAATGGAAAAGCAGGAAAATCGTGCTGTCATCAAATACTTTTATTTGAAGGGGTTAACGCCGAAGGAAATTAAAAAAGAGATGGACTCAACACTGGGGACATCCTCCCCGTCATATTCAACCGTTAAGCAGTGGGTTTCCGAGTTTAAAAAGGGTCGTGTGAGCACCTCTGATGGGCCTCGCTCAGGACGCCCCGTTGAGGTCACAACTCCAGATATGATCGAAAAAATTCATCAAATAGTGCTGGGAGACCGCAGATTGAAAGTGCGTGAGATAGCTGAGACCTGTAAGATGTCATATGAACGTGTGCAACATATTTTGCACCAACATTTGCATATGGAAAAGCTCTGTGCAAGATGGGTGCCGCGTTTGCTAACAGTCGACCAAAAATTGATTCGAAAAAACATTTCTACCGCAAATTTGTCATTGTATAAGCGTAATCCAAGCGAATTTTTGCGTCGATTCGTAACCGTTGACGAAACGTGGGTCCACCACTACACTCCTGAAACCAAAGAACAGTCTAAACAGTGGATTGGACCAGGGGAACCAACTCCAAAGAAGGCAAAAACAATTTTTTCGGCGAACAAGGTTATGGCTACTGTTTTTTGGGATGCAAGAGGTATTATATACATTGATTACCTTGCAAAGGGTAATACTATCACTGGTCAATACTACGCAGACTTATTGCAACGTTTGAGCCACGAGGTGAAAATTAAACGACCTCATCTGGCGAAGAAAAAAATCTTGTTTCATCACGATAACGCACCAGCGCACACGTCAATCGTTGCGACGGCTAAAATCAACGATCTAAAGTTTGAATTGATGCCGCACCCTCCTTACTCTCCAGACCTAGCCCCGAGTGACTATTTTCTGTTCCCTAATCTCAAAAAATGGCTTGGCGGTAAGAGATTTGCGGACAATGAAGAAGTAATCGAAGCTGTAAATGGTTATTTTGAGGAGCTTGACGAATCAGTCTATAGAGATGGCATTAATAGACTGGAACACCGCTATGAGAAATGTATCAGCCTTGGAGGAGATTATGTTGAGAAATAAAAAAAAAAAATTTTTTAAAACCTTGTTTTTCTTGGTCAGGCCGGAAACTTATCAATCCACCCTCGTATGATAATAACGTTCAAAAATGAACAAGCAACGAACGGAAAGTCAGTAAATGGGTCAAGGTTTTTTTGTAGTCACAAAAAATGTATAACCTATTGCCCTTACATTCATTTCAGACTTGGTAATGACCGTTATACAAAGAGATTTAAAAAATTCATCAACAACATCTAAAAGAAAATTTGCTTATATATCAGCCATATAATTAGTAAAACATGGAATTGTTTGGGTTTCGTTTACAAAAATTTTATAATAAAATATAGACATATTAGGAGAATTATCTCTAAAGGTCGGTGATCTCGACTAGCACTTTAAAATGAACAACCCATTAAATTTTTAGAAACAGATAACGGGACAATATATTTATTTCTCCATCATGCAAAAATAGTGGTCGTGTTACTTACCATACTGTAGAAGTCATTCTCGTCGTAACCTTATCGAACAGTACTCCATTATAGGAGTCCTTTACATCCTTTACATCCTTCATTTCGCACAACGTTTATCTAAAAACTATAATCAATTATAAATTTGCACACATAATAATAAATAATAAACTACACTACAACTAATTAAGAATAACTGATTTATTTCGTTTTACCGAAAATTATATGAATAAATTCATTAACCAATCTTGAATAAGAGTCACAAGTAGATAGTTATGGTGCATGTCCCTATTTTGCAGAGTAAAATTTACCACAAATTATGATTCTTTTTATGTAATTAGCTACGTTTTTATTTTCTTCTTAAGCATTTCGACAAACAGATAATCAAAACACTTACCAAAATATTTCGTAGAATCGTTTCATTTACCAGTTCTCTCCATAGTCACTATGATTTTATCACATTTTTAATTTTAACATTTAAATTTAATTCATTTGCGTATTGAATTTATCATTCGTTAGAAATGCGTCTTTACATTAAAAAAAAAAAAAAACACGGGAAGTTTGAAATAAAGCGAGAGTGCTGAGCATGAAGGCGTGAAAGGTGCTGCTGTGACAACATTGACATTTTAATATATTTTCCACTTCACATATTATCCTAATAGCAACATTTCGATTCAGAAGTAAAGCAAATGCATACTTTGAATAATGAATACAAATGTCATTAAAAGCAGAGCAATTTCTAGAACGTTATAGGTACCTACAGTTGAAAGCTTTTAAAATAAAAATGAGATCGAGAAGTACACAGTCAGTAAATATCGAAACAGCGTTCAGAAACAGAAAGGTTAAACTCAACACGAAGATTTTCAACATGAAAGAATGATGGATGATAAAATTTTTCATAATGCATGACATCAAAACAAAAATGAATAAAAAAAATATAATGTAGGACAGACAACGGTAGTAATAGTGCTTATTATGATATTGACTATGCTAAATTTAGAAGTTGTTATAAATTATTTTCATTTAATATATACTGGATATTAACGATGTACCCATAAAGCATTATTCTTCAGTAACGTTTTCAATTTTCGTACGTTTAAGGTACTTGAACACATTTCTTAATACAGTAGTATTGCAAGTAATACTTAATTATCAACGGATTTGCGGAATTGCGAGTTGTTACCATCCAATTCTATAAATGAAACGACTAGCATCTAGTACCTAAAGAATGATACAAACATCTTCAATTTAATCCTATCTAAATTTTATAAGGGTGATATGTAAGCTGCACTAGCACAGGTTCGCTCTCTAATACAAATTGTACTGTAATCAACGAGTCACGTCGCAGTGCCATATACTACATATGCACGTATGCCAGAGATTCGGTAGTCATGCGTAACTCTCTTACGTAGCATCAGTTTTTTTCAGCATTTTACTCCTCTAATGGTCGAGATCCATTAGGCGCCGTGTAAGAAATTTTGGTAATTGTCTAGTCTTGGTGATGGGACTGTCGTTGAGACAGATTCGGTAGGGGTTAGTAGGGAAAGGGGGGTCCAAGGATTTCATCTCCACTGATAAAAAGTGAGGGCAGATAAGGGGAAGTGGGTTAAAAATTAAAATGGTAGGGGTGGAGCTGACCTTAAACAACCCCATAATTGTTGCAAAAGTTAGGGATAAAGGGTGGGTGTAAAAATTTTTTTTTTAATTCAGTAAAAGGATCAATTAATAATTTTTAATCACAATTTAAAACACTGTTAAACATTACATATTAAATATTATTTAAACTTTTTCGACTAGAGTAAAAATATTTACAAAGGTCGCTAGATACGTTTTGCAATACAGCTTTAATTTATACACTCTTTCAAAATAATTTCTTTCACATTTTATACACTCAGTCATGCATAAAAACAAAATATCAAAAATGTCCTTCTACTTTGATGATTAAATGCACCTAAAACCTCAGTACCTGTTTGAAACCTTCTTCCTTTCAACTAATCCTTAATGATTGGAAGTTACAGGAGGCTTGGTAAGGGCTATAAGCAGAATTTTCAAGTACTTTAACCCCACTGCTATTCAAAAATTTGACACTGTCACGTAATCCATGCGTAGGTGCATTATCGTGATGAAAATGCCAAATGTCCATTCTCGAATTTCGTTGAATTTCCAGAATCTTTGGGCAACAATTCGTTTATCTACCAAGAGGCGGTTACAGTACGTTGACATTCCAATACTGTCGTGCAAAAAATAAATTATTGATACTATCTGAAGAACCAGTTTCATACATTTTCAATTTTCTTTTGATACCAGTTAACTCTGGCTTCCTTTTGTCTTGTTCAACTTCGAGGTCGTGCAGCCAGAATATCCTCTAGCTGTTGGTGTTATACGTCTATTTTCCTGTAATAATTTTGACATTTTTACCACTTTATCTGGGCTGTTTCCACCTCCCCCGCCTCCTCTTCGTCGCCTTCACATTATTATCAATGGGGATGAAATCCTTGGACCTTTCGCTACTACCCTTGTCCGAGCAACGGCTCCATCATCTAGACAATTATCGAAATTTCACTTCAAAAACATAGATGGTATAATAATAATAATAATAACTCAATAAGTAATACAAGGTGTTCCAGGAAATAAGATGTGATAATCATTTAAGATATTTTTTTATAAACCACTTTCATCAATTAGGGATCTATAGGTATTAAGAGCTTCTGAACCATGGACAAACCATCACGTAGAAAGAACGTATGTAAGTCAATACCTATTAAACCGTTCATTCGTCGCATTTTTCGTGGCATTGTATATTGTTTTTCAAGAATAGGTAATAAAAAGCAGAAAATTCAGAAATGTATTTCTTTCTTTTAAGCCAGCTTGTGTATTAACTAATCATGATATAATTTCGTCATTCTCACCTGTTAATATGGAGTGGGCAATAATTAAATGGTTGAAAATTACAGGTACTGGAGATCATTATCAAATCTGGTTGCTTCGTTATTAAATTCGATACAGTCAATCGCATCCCTTCTTCTTTTGTTGTTTTTATTCATCGTTATATTTGCCCTACTCGGAATGCAAGTCTTCGGTGGAAAATTCACATTTAATGCAACAAGTGAAAAACCACGGTCAAACTTTGATAGTTTCTGGCAAAGCCTCCTTACTGTATTTCAGGTATGTCTATAATATATTCCTGTGTATGTAGGTATGCGTGGCATATATGCAGGAGCGTAACCTACAGAATAGTGTTGACCTCTTAATCAATTAAATAGGATGTTCAACGTATCATGTAACAACACGATGACCCTTTTTCCACATGTAGCGCTACGCCCCTGCAAAACAAGGCAAAAATTGGGATTTTCGATAGTACCATTTTTTTACGTATTACAGATTCTAACCGGTGAAGACTGGAATACAGTAATGTATAATGGAATACAGGCTTATGGGGGTGTGTCCTCTGTGGGGGCATTAGCGTGTATATACTTCATCATTCTCTTTATATGTGGTAACTGTATCCTTTTAAAGCTTTTTATTGTAATTATGTGTTTACCTCAGTTAACTATTTCATTCGGTACCTACGAAAATATTTTAGGTTTGTGAGATTAATATATAGGGTTGTTCGGAAAGTAATTTCGTTTTTTTGTGGAATTGAAAGACAGTTTTCGTATAATAAACAAATACTTTATTAAATTATATATTGACCGTTCTGGTCCAACACCTTTTGCCATCTTTCTGGTAGTAGCATAATTCCACGCTCATAAAATTTTTGGTCTTTGCTGGCAAAAAACTGATCGAGGAGGTGTTTTAGATCCTCATTTGAGGTGAAGGTTTTACCTTCTAAAACATTTTGGAGTGACCGGAACAAATAATAATCCGATGGTGCCAGGTCTGGAGAATATGGTGGGTGTAACATTGTATCCCACTGAAGCTGTAAAAGCTTTTGGCGAGTGACCAAACTTGTGTGAGGTCTCGCGTTGTCTTGGTGAAACACTACACCTTTCCTGTTCTGACCTTTTCTGTTGAAGTGCATCATTGCATCATTCAGTTTGTCCAGCTGATGACAGTAGACTTCCGAATTAATCGTTGTGTTATCCGGTAAAAGCTCAAAAAAAACGATTCCTTTAAAATCCCACCAAACAGACAGCATCACCTTTTTTTGGTGAATATCGGCTTTGGAAATGGTTTGAGCCGGTTCATCTTTTTTGCTCCATGACCTCTTGCGTTTGACGTTGTTGTATACAACCCATTTTTCGTCCCCAGTGATGATGCGCTTCAAAAACGGATCATTTTCGTGACGTTTGAGAAGCGAATCGCAGACGTCAATGCGGCGACACAGATTTCTCTCTGTGAGAACATGGGGAACCCATACATCGAGCTTCGAGGATAATCCCAGGCCTTTCAAGTGGTCATAAACTGTTGAATTTGATAAATTTAACCTCAATCCGATCTCACGTGTTGTTATTCGCCGGTTCACATCAACTAATGCCTTTATCGCGTCTTTATCAGCTTCAACCGGCCTTCCCGAACGTGGTGCATCTTCGACATCAAAATTGCCGGATCGAAATTTAGCGAACCAGTTCTGGCACTGGCGTACTGTCAACACACCTTCTCCATACACATCAGTCAATTTCTTTCTGGCTTGAACAGCATTTTTACCCTTTCTGTAGTAAAACAGTAAGATATGTCGAAAATGCTGCTTATCGCTCTCCATATTTAAAAGGGCACCAACCAAAAACTACTGCGTAGAATTAATTGGAATTTTTCACACACAAGCCTTGCTATATGAGCTCTCAAAGCATATAAAAATTATACGGCTTAAATGTGAAGTTGGGTGCAAAAGAATACAATTAAATCCTCTGTCGGGAAAAAACGAAATGACTTTCCGAACAACCCGATAATTCTACGAATAACACAGAACCTAACGCAGGGAATATGTTTTTAGTTCATTAACTGAAATAAAAAAAAAAAAAGAAACAACGTAATTTACTTAAACAAAGTGAAGAATATCAAATATTCATTAATTTTTGAAATAATTCATCAAATTAAAAAAAAGACTAATTTTATATCTGTTAACAGTTAATGCTAAATCCTCCTGGCTTACAACAATAATTAATTCATGAATGACCGGCACACAGTCCAATTAAAGGTTCTTTACTGCGAAATTCCACATTGTAATTTAGAGATACTTGGTAGAATATTTGAAATGTACAACTATTTTGAGAATATTTTGTTTTGGAAATTTCGTTTAATGTAAGAAAGTAACATCGATTTGATTATTACTTCTCCGCTTACTAAGTAACACAGTTTACATAACTACGTTATATAATTTATTAACCATTCGTTATCGCGGTAATTTTACCGACTTTATTATACCGTAGAGACCATTGCACGGTTTATCGCCTTCCAAATCTCGAACTCATTTCGTACCCTGAATTTAACTTATCATCCAACCATCAACAAATAGGGAAAATGCTTACAAAATAAGCAATTTCTCCATTAATTCGCGATCAATGGAATTCGTCAAGGAAGTGGCTAAATGTCCGCCGGCTTGCATATTGTAAAAAAAAGTCCACCGTACCGCAGAATTGACGCGACTGCGTTTAATGTCCACCACTATTGTTACCGTTTACGCAAGCCCGGCGCATTTATTCTTTTATTTAGAAACATTCCATTCATTTTCAGCCAATATGTGCAAGCACAGCGGAATAGTCCTCAATATTTTAAAATTCCGCCATTCCGCTTGATAATAATTGACCAATGCAGGATAGGCACGAGTGTAAGCTATAAGGCGAATATCTCATTTCGCGATGAATATCATCGGTTCAGTGGTAAATTGCTCATCTGCTATATGAGCGGTCTGAGTTCCATTTCCAATATGTTATTTTTATGTTACCTACTTCTTGAAAGTTAGGTTATCGTTAATTTTGGTTGCTCTAATGAGAAAATTTCTATTAATCTGTTTTTAACTAATTATTCTTTACTTCCTACCTATAGAGGTTATGGTTAATTTAAGTTGACTGAAGTTAAAAAAAATAAAATTTAATGATACTATCAACTGATATGAGACCGAATAATACTACTTATATAATGTTCCATCGTGCATGCGCATATTGACAGAGTATAAATGGAATTCTCTTGAAAAGACTAAACTGCCGCGCCTGTTTAAATATTGAAAATGGCGACGGACTTTAAACCTAATAGCATTAATTCAGCCGACGAACTTTTTCTTTGTTTCAATCAGTGACTTTTCTTTTACGTTTAGTCACGCCATACACGATAAACATTAAAGCATGCTAATTTTGCTACACCACTTATAAGATTTTAGTTTGCAAGTATGTATTGAGTTCTTTTTTTACAGAAACTGCTATTTTTAAACAATTGTTATCGGAGCTACTAGAAAATATCTTGGCTGATCAGGACCGTTTTCGGCCCACTCTGAACACGAAAAAATATTACTGTAAAGCTGAAATAATTTGTAATAATTCAGATGTAGTTTTTTACGCGAGACCCACAATCGTTTCTAAGAGGTAAAGGTCTGAAATATTTCTTGGGTATTTATTACCGTCTTCTGAGACCTGGATTTTTAAAGCATAAAATGTTCCGGTTATTATTATTACAGTTCGCCAGTTTAACGTGTTTAAAAGTTAAAATGGCTCTCCTAGCACTTCATATCTTAATAAATCCCAAAATCAAAAGGAATAGGCAAAAAGGCAATAAAAAGAAAACATACTTTCATATGTAGCAAGTATATTAACCTATCTTTTTTAGTGCTTTACTTCTATGCGGAAAGGATTTTGAGTCACGCATAAAAAAATTACAAATCTTGAATTCTTGCAGAAAGTACCTATTCAGTTCAGCTTTACAAGAATATTTCTTCTACAAGTTTAATATTTGCCAGCTACCTTGAATAATTAAATATGCATTACATAAAAAAAGCTTCGTTACTTGGCTATCTCGGGGAACTACTTTTATTGAAATTGTTCGGTACATACCTAGATTGGCATGTTCTTTCAGTTACAACTAAAGGTGTCTCTCTTATATGCTACATACCTACAGAAATGGCCTCCTCCATTTATTTAAATTTCCACGTATTTGTTCTTCTGTATTTTCTTAACAATATAAGATATTCTCTTGAATGTCTTCTTGGCTATCGCCGTTGATAATTTAGCCGATGCAGAATCGCTGACAGCAATCGAGAAAGAGGAAGAAGAGCAGCAGCAAGAAGCTGAGAAAAATCAGTCCAAAAGCCCTACACCAGTTAGGGATGATGAAGATGGAGAAGGAGAGCGCAGCGAAGATGAGGAAGATATTGAAGAAGGCGAAGGTGTCTACGATTCTGAAAGGTGCGTAAATACATTATTATTATAAAAATTCCTGTATGGCGAGATTATTCTGTCGAAACTGTCAGAATTAGAGCGCGATTTTAATCTGATTGGATCTCGTCAGCGCGCCGTAGACAGTTCCAACAAAACACAGACCAACCTACCTGCTGCCATTAACTCGGTAAGTCGTTATCCGGACAAAAAAATGGCCTTGTCGAACATTATCGAATCCCATAATAAGTAGCAATTTTATAAAGATGGCGTTCATACGCTATCTGTATTTATACATTCCCGTAGCCAAACATTTACATAACATATCAAAATTAATGTCCCAACTAATTCTAGAATCACTGTATTTTTCACGTTACTTAAAGGTCGGAACGTGACGAAGAAGATGAAGAAGACGAAGAGGACGAAGAAGAGGAAGAAGAAGCGGAGTCACAGGCTAAAATTAATTTAAATCATGAAGAAGAAGGTGATCAGGAAATCAATGAGGGTAAGTAAAATGATAAGAAAAAGTACACTTCAATAGCTTATTGCGATTATTATTTGCCGCACGATATGATGGAAGTACTGCAGTAAAACATCTTACCTTCATATAGTAAAAAATACATTTCATTACAGAATTCCCTCAAAAAATGTTTAAATAAAACAATGTCACCTTATTCTTTAATAACCGAGTTTTCGTCCGATTTGTAATAACCGAGTAGTTAAAAAATAAATAAAAAGCATCAGTTTGCCGGAGTGCACTGTACTTTCCATCTTTCTTTTTTTTTGGCATCCATTTCAGACTACACAATTATTACCCTAGATTACTCACTACTTCTGCTTATGCCAAAAAATGCCGTCCTTTGTTAAATTTTTAATTGTTAAATGTTAATTACTGGATAATTGCACTGCAAACTGCAAATTGAAAATGTAATTAAGTAAAAATAACGAATCATGCGTATGTTTTTAAGGGTGTTGCTTATTTTACAATTACTTAAAACTGATACGTATTATTCTTTATAGAACATTTTTACGGATTAAAAATAAATCAAGCATCTTCACAATCGAAACGCATACAAATATTCTTTACAACGATTTGGTTTTTTTGTTATTACGATGGCGGTTAGTGATTAGGATACAGGGATACGAGCCAATTCATCTAATATTACATTCATTCTAATAAATATAATTACAAAATTTGTATAGGGTTTAACTAAATTCGTTATTGTTAATGTTGAATTGCTGTTTCCATTTTCCATTAAACAGATTCAGACTATGCAGAAAACTAATCGAAACAAATTATGACCCAGTACCAAGAGAAGAGACTCACAATTGTACATACGACATCAAAAAGCAAAAAACTAAACATATTATAAAACATGGAAATGTACAAAAATGAAAAATAATATATATAAATAGTAGAATGAAGATTCGGGCTATACGGCCGTGGTCTAAGTGAACTATTGTGTCCAGACGTTTCGGCAGCTACTGCGGCTTACATCCTCAGTGGTAGTGCTGCGTTGACAAGGTGAACGTAGATTATATCTACTGTGCGACTGTCGCTGTCGAGACTTCGAGATATAATCTACGTTCACGTTGTCAACGCAGCACTACCACTGAGGATGTCAGCCGCAGTAGCTGACGAAACGTCATTCTACTATGAATTCCGGCCGTGAAAGCCTTTATTCTAATAACTTTTGGGTGTTTCATTCCCACTAGCCAGTAATGCTGGTGGGCGGGCAGTCCCTCCGGACTATGCCGGAAGGTAGGGCGGAAGGCCCTCTTCAGCCTGCTTTCAGGAATCGTGGGAATGGGTGGGTGGTGGTTCGGGTGAGAAAG